TTTGCCCAAAACAAGATGATAGTTTTTGATACTTTTAATTTATAAGTCTATTTTATCGATTGTAAATATTGTTTTATTGAAAAAAATGATTTGAATAGAATTTTTATTGTTTTTCGTTTTTGATGTTATAATCTGAGATAGTAATAATGAGTTAACAGGAGGATCGACCTTTATTATATTTACATAATATCATTATATTTACATAAAGTCAAAAAAATTATCAAAAATAATATTTATAGTTGATTTCAAAATGATTTGACAAAAATTAATTTGTAAGTAATATTAGATAAATATTTTTTTTTTAGATTTTCATTATTTTTGTCGCTCATATAATTAATATTCGAACATTTAATGATTACAGATATGAAGAAGTTCACGTTCCTGCTCTAAAACCGAAACCATTTGCAGATAATGAAAAATTGCATCCAATTGAGCAATTGCCTAAGTATGTGCAACCTGCTTTTGATGGTTTCAAAACGCTGAATCGTATACAAAGTCGCTTATATCAGACGGCATTGGAGAGCGATGAGAATCTACTCCTGTGTGCTCCAACAGGAGCTGGTAAAACTAATGTAGCTCTGCTGTGCATGATGCGAGAAATTGGAAGACACATAAACGCTGATGGTACAATCAATGCAGATGAATTCAAAGTAATTTATGTTGCTCCAATGCGTTCGCTGGTACAAGAAATGGTCGGCAATTTCCGCAAGCGATTGTCAACATATAATCTGACTGTTTCCGAATTAACGGGTGATCATCAATTAACACGAGAACAAATTGCCGCTACTCAAGTAATAGTATGTACCCCGGAAAAGTGGGATATTATAACAAGAAAGGGTGGCGAAAAAACTTTCACATCATTAGTACGATTGATTATTATCGACGAGATTCATTTATTACATGACGAAAGAGGTCCTGTTCTGGAAGCACTGGTCGCAAGGACGATACGAAACATCGAAACTACTCAAGAAGATGTGCGTCTTGTTGGTTTATCGGCTACATTACCCAATTATCAAGACGTTGCAGCATTTTTGCGCATTAAACCGGAGACAGGACTATTCTATTTTGACAACAGTTTCCGGCCTGTAGCTTTAGAACAGCAGTATATCGGCGTTACGGAGAAGAAAGCATTGAAGCGTTTTCAAGTAATGAATGAGATCGTCTATGAAAAGACCATGGAACACGCTGGCAGGAATCAAGTACTGATATTTGTGCACTCACGTAAGGAAACCGGAAAAACAGCACGTGCTATTCGAGACATGTGCCTGGAGAAAGATACCTTAGGTCAATTTCTTAGGGAAGGTTCCGCGTCGATGGAGGTTTTGAGAACAGAAGCAGAGCAAGTAAAAAATCAAGAGCTTAAAGATTTGTTACCATATGGTTTTGCGATTCATCACGCTGGTATGACTCGTGTGGATCGCACGCTAGTGGAGGATCTCTTCGCTGATAGACACATACAAGTTCTCGTATCTACAGCGACTTTAGCTTGGGGTGTCAATTTGCCGGCTCATACAGTTATTATCAAGGGTACTCAGGTGTATAACCCGGAGAAAGGTAGATGGGTAGAGCTGGGCGCTTTAGACGTACTGCAAATGTTAGGACGAGCCGGTCGACCGCAGTACGATACTAAAGGCGAGGGTATCCTTATCACAAATCATAGCGAACTGCAGTATTATCTATCGCTTTTAAATCAGCAATTACCCATTGAATCCCAATTAATCAGTAAGATGTCCGATATGTTGAATGCGGAAGTAGTGCTAGGAACGATCCAGAATATCAGAGATGCGGTTACCTGGCTTGGTTATACTTATCTTTACATTAGAATGCTTCGTTGTCCCAATCTATACGGGATAAGTCATGACAAATTGAAACAAGATCCTTTATTAGAACTCCATAGAGCTGATCTAATTCATTCAGCTGCAGTCGGATTGGATCGTAGTGGTTTAATCAAATATGATCGTAAATCTGGTAATTTTCAGGCGACCGAATTGGGTAGAATAGCATCTCATTATTATTGCACTCACGAAACGATGTCTACGTATAATCAGTTGCTGAAGCGCACATTGAGCGAGATAGAATTGTTCCGGGTGTTTTCACTGTCGAGCGAGTTCAAAAATATAAATGTCAGGGAGGAAGAAAAACTAGAGTTGCAAAAGCTGATGGAAAGAGTACCAATACCGGTGAAAGAGAGCATTGAGGAACCAAGTGCGAAAGTGAATGTGCTATTGCAAGCATACATCTCGCAGTTGAAACTTGAAGGATTCGCTCTTATGTCTGATATGGTATTTGTGACACAATCCGCCTCACGTCTCATGAGAGCTATCTTTGAGATAGTTCTGTTCCGTGGATGGGCACAATTAGCAGACAAATGCCTATCTATCTGTAAGATGATCGATCGCAGGATGTGGCAATCAATGTCGCCACTCAGACAATTCCGTAAAATGCCGGAAGAAATAGTGAAGAAGATCGAGAAGAAGAATTTTCCATGGGAGAGGCTGTACGATCTGGGACCCAATGAGATTGGCGAATTGATCCGCGTGCCGAAACTAGGCAAAACCATTCACAAATACGTCCATCAATTTCCAAAGTTAGGTTTGTCCACGCATATCCAGCCAATTACGCGTTCCACTCTAAGAGTTGTGCTGACTATCACACCGGATTTCCAATGGGATGAGAAAGTTCACGGTATGTCGGAAGCGTTTTGGATCTTAGTCGAAGACGTGGATTCGGAGGTAATTTTGCATCACGAATATTTCTTATTGAAGGCCAAATACGCAGCTGATGAACATGTAATTAAGTTTTTTGTGCCAGTCTTTGAGCCTTTGCCGCCACAATACTTTTTGCGCGTTGTATCCGATCGGTGGATTGGGGCGGAGACACAATTGCCTGTAAGCTTTCGACATCTGATATTGCCTGAAAAAAATCTTCCGCCTACGGAATTGCTGGATTTGCAGGCGCTGCCAATAACAGCGTTGCGAAATACTAAATTCGAGAATATCTATTCTGCTTTTCCACAGTTCAATCCAATTCAGACGCAAGTGTTCAACGCGATTTATAATTCCGACGATAATGTATTTGTTGGAGCACCCACAGGTTCAGGAAAAACGACCATTGCGGAATTTGCAGTGCTAAGGTTATTGACGCAGAATCCGGAAGGACGGTGTGTATATATGGTTAGCAAAGAGGCTTTAGCTGAATTGGTTTATGCTGATTGGGCAGCAAAATTTGGTCAACAGTTGGGAAGAAAAGTTGTCTTACTAAGCGGCGAAACAGGAACGGATTTGAAGTTACTTGCCAAAGGACAGATTATTATCACCACGGCGGATAAATGGGACGTTTTATCACGTAGATGGAAGCAACGAAAAAATGTCCAAAACATCCAGTTGTTTATCGTGGATGAATTGCAATTGATTGGTGGTGAAGAAGGCCCTGTGCTAGAAGTTGCATGTTCGCGAGCACGTTACATCTCTTCGCAGCTTGACAAACCTACTAGAATAATAGCATTATCAGCTTCATTGGCTGATGCCAAAGACGCAGCACAGTGGTTGGGTGCACCGGCAGCTGCAACTTTCAATTTTCACCCTACTGTGCGACCGGTACCTTTGGAGTTGCACGTGCAAGGTATAAATGTCACTCATAATGCGTCAAGATTAGCTGCCATGGCAAAACCAGTATATAATGCAATTCTTCGACACGCTGCACATAAACCGGTGATCGTATTTGTACCCACTCGTCGACAAGCAAGATTAACAGCCATCGACTTGCTGACATTCACGGCAGCTGAAGGTCAACCCTCGAGATTCTTTCACGCGGAAGAAGCTGACATTAAACCATTTCTCGATCGAATGAGTGACAAAACACTGAAGGAAACTTTGTCGCAAGGTGTAGCTTATCTTCACGAGGGTTTATCGGCCGACGATCGTCATTTAGTTGAACAATTATTTGACAGTGGAGCAATCCAAGTTGCGGTCGCCACGAGGGATCTCTGTTGGGGTTTATCTATCAGCTCCCATCTTGTCGTAGTCATGGATACACAGTGCTATAATGGCAAGACACATGCCTATGAGGATTATCCGATCACAGACGTTCTGCAGATGGTAGCACGAGCTAATCGGCCGTTAGAAGATGAAGACGCCAAATGCGTACTGTTGTGTCAAAGCTCAAAAAAAGATTTTTTTAAGAAGTTTTTGAATGAACCATTACCGGTAGAGAGTCACTTGGATCGCCGGTTGCATGATCACTTCAATGCGGAGATTGTGACGAAGACGATCGAGAACAAACAAGATGCGGTCGATTACCTCACGTGGACTTTTCTGTATCGACGACTCACTCAAAATCCTAATTACTATGGCCTGCAAGGTGTCACACATCGGCACCTCTCAGATCATCTATCCGAGTTAGTCGAGAGCACGTTAACTGATTTAGAACAAGCCAAATGTGTCGCCGTGGAAGACGAAATGGATACTTTGCCTCTTAACCTCGGAATGATTGCTGCCTATTACTATATCAATTACGCTACTATCGAATTGTTCAGTCTATCTCTTAATAACAAGACGAAGATCAGAGGTTTGCTAGAAATTATTTCAGCGGCTGCTGAGTATGAGAGCGTTCCAGTGCGGCAAAGAGAAGAAAATTTACTGAGAAGTTTGGCTGCACGTTTACCGCATGCTCCACAGGCTGCTAGAATGGCTGATCCTCATGTGAAGGCGCAACTTCTTCTGCAAGCTCATTTATCGAGGATACAGTTAGGCCCAGAATTACAAAAGGATACTGAACTGGTGTTGAGTAAGGCCGTAAGACTGATACAAGCTTGCGTCGATGTCTTAAGCTCCTCTGGATGGTTAGCACCTGCTGTTGCCGCTATGGAACTTGCGCAGATGGTGACGCAAGCAATGTGGTCTAAAGATTCTTATTTGAAACAATTGCCGCACTTTACAGCAGAGACCATCAAGCGCTGCACCGACAAAGGCGTGGAAACTGTATTTGATGTCATGGAACTTGAAGATGACGATCGAAATCGGCTATTACAGTTAACGGATGCGCAGATGGCAGACGTGGCCAAATTTTGCAACCGATATCCTAATATTGAGATGTCATATGAAGTACAGGAGAAAGACAAATTGCACAGTGGTGGCACGGTAAATGTGATTGTACAACTGGAACGAGAAGACGAGGTAATCGGGCCGGTAGTCGCGCCGTTTTTTCCGCAAAAACGTGAGGAAGGTTGGTGGGTAGTGATTGGCGACCCGAAGAGCAACTCCTTGCTCTCTATCAAACGTCTAACATTACAACAGAAGGCAAAGATCAAGTTGGATTTTGTCGCTCCTGCACCTGGTCAGCATTCCTACACTTTGTACTTTATGAGTGATGCTTATCTTGGTTGCGATCAAGAATACAAGTTCATCATCAACGTCGGAGAATACGAATCGGATGCTAGTTCCGGTTCAGATTCTGATTGAAATCATTAAACTTAATATGTTCCATAATATATATTATTTTTTTGTACCATATGTAGGTATGTCAAAAGTATTATATATCACTCATACAATATATATCTCATAAAAATATATATATCACTCATATAATATTTTTTTTTTATTTGTTAACAGTAAATCGGAGTAATCTGTATTAGTAGTAATTATAATTTTTATTCTACAAATTCAATTTCAAATATTTTAATTGTCTTTCAATTGTCCTTATTCTAATAGCACATATGTGAAATAAAAAAATTGTACGTCTCATTTTTTGTTTTTCTATTTTTTGTGATCCAATGGTAAAAGGAGGAATGGCAAGAAAGAGGGGAGGGAGGAAAAGAAAATTATACAACGTTGTAATATATAATAAAGATTATTTAATTTATTGTTATTGATAATTTCTTTGATACGGTTACAAGTTCTCTTTGTTTTCGCAAATTTGTTTTTACAATGACCAACTGCGAATACCGCGCCCTTTTCCTTCTTTTGCGTTGCATAGTAGAATGAATCCCGAATGTAGGTAGATAAAATCCTTGAAAAGAAAATTGTCAAAGAAGTTTTCAACAAAACTGCATATATACACATCTCATACTTCTATTGAAAAGATCTGCACAACGTACAGTCGAAACATGTATTATATCAAAGTTTGAACTGACGCGATTCCTTCTGCAGCTGTCTGTAAATTAAATTCTAGAGCCTAAATAAAACATGACTAGCAAATCCCGTAGTTGTCGATTGGTATATTTTTTTTCTTCAAGTAGATAAATGTGTTTGTGTAATTTTGACACTATATGTTTTACTCTTATTAAAGTTTAATTTTTCATCTTAAAAAACGACAATTTCTGTAATTGTTTACATGACCAATATGTATTTCAGGATATTAAAGCGCAGATAAAAAAAAGTATCGACGTTTACGTTTAAGTAACGACAAACATTTAAACAGAATTTCTATTCTTGGTGAGGTAAACATAAAGCCACAAAAAATCGAATTTTAGTTTTTTTTTAGTTTTCTTGTTATTTCAAGATCAATCCTTATAAAGAAGCACTCTCCCCTTTTCCCCCGATTTTGATGAACTTTAAAGTTCCTCCTATTTGCCAACTCTGTGTTGACAGTGGAGACACAGAATCAGACGACGATCTGACGAAACCGGTAGCTATACATTTAAACACGAGCCATGTCCGTCTGCTCGCCTGCGGCGCGCCGAAAGTGAACAAAACAGCAAGCTCCTTCTCACACTAATCACTTGTTTCAAGCGACCGAAAATTTTTCAGTAATCCCGGCCGTTCAACAACATCAATAGACATCAATAAGGAGCTCTAAATAATATATAAGTTTTAATAAATTGTAGTAATAGTGTATCCCTCCCCTTAATTCTCAGAATAGTATAAATCATGTTAAAAAACGCAACAGTTTACGAGATATTTAATTGTTTACGATTTTTCATACGCGTTATATAGTAGAGTTTAGTAGAATAATTTAGTAAAAGTAAAATTTTATCGGAAAACAATTATATTAACCAGCATTTCTTTTCATGAAAATCTCGAAAGGCCATCAGAAAAGAAATGCATATGTTTGAGATTCGAAACTTGTGAAGAAAATATGCGAATAAAAATCGAATAGTTGTAAAAAGCGTTTTTCGCTAACGAAAGATATTGATTGTATGGAAAAAAATTCGATACAAAATGTAGGTATTTAAAATACTTATAAAATGAGACGTGGAGCATTAAAATCGATATATTAGTTCAGTAGAAAAAAATAAAAAACACCGAAAAAGGCATTTTCTTCATTCGCTCTCTATTTATTGAGATTTAAACACAAAGCTTTGAAATTCTCGTAAAATGTAGCCTTCGTAATGTAGCCTTCGTAACACAAACAAACCAATCTAGCCCTGAACAAGCTTGAAATGTTCATTAGTTTTTGCAAAAAGTCAATTGTTCACTAAAAACCTGTTTGCGGAAAATTTAATTTCTTCATCTTTGAGCAGTCGCACATCTACAGGGGTGAATTTTCTTCTTCAAGAATTGCACTGTCACGTATACTTAATAACAAAATGATTTTTTGCAATTAAACTATTAGGTGTACAACTTGCTTCCGCCGTTTTTTTCCGAAATTCGAGACTTTATTGTAAAAAACTTGTTATACATTTATGATTCAAAGTATTGTCCATCGCTGGCCACTACTTTCTCCCATCTTTCGGGTAGCGTACGAATCCCACGTCGAAAAAACTGATCATCTTTTGAGGCTATCCACGAATCGATCCAATTTTTTACTTCTTCATAAGACCGGAAGTGCTTGTCAGCCAGGCCGTGTGCCATTGATCGAAACAAGTGATAGTCAGAGGGAGCAACGTCTGGAGAATGGGTGGGGTAGGATCCCATTTCAACGTTTCCAAGTATGTCTTGACCATTTTCGCAACATGGGGTCGAGCATTGTCATGCTGCAAAACCACTTTATCGTGTCTCTCGTTGTATTGCGGCCGTTTGTCTTTCAATGCTCGGCTCAAACGCATCGATTGCGTTCGATACCGATCGCCTGTGATTGTTTCGGTTCAGTCGATTTTAACAGTTCATAATACACTACGCCGAGCTAGCCCCAAATACACAGCATGACCTTGGAGCCATGAATATTCGGTTTGGCCATCGACGTGGAAGCATGGCCGGAAACTCCCCATGATTTTCTGCGCTTGGTATTATCGTAATGAACTCATTTTTCGTCCCCAGTCACAATGCGATGCAGAAATCTCTTCCGTCTTTGCCTTTCAAGCAGCTGTTCACAAGCAAACAAACGCCGTTCAACATCTCTCAGCTTCAATTCGGCACCCAATTTCCTTACTTCTGAATCATTCCCATGGCTTTGAGGCGTTTTGAAATGGCTTGTTGAGTCACTCCTAATGATTGTGCCAATTCTTCTTGATTTTGACATGAATCTTGCTCAAGTAATGCCTCCAATTCTGCGAAAACCTCTCTTCCATCGCTATGCCGGTCTTCGACGTCAAAATCACCGTTCTTGAAGCATTGAAACCATTCACGACACGTTCTTTCACTAACAGCGGCCTCACCATAAGTATTTGAGAACATTCGATGAGCCTCAGCCGCAGATTTCTTCATATTGAAGCAAAAAATTAAAACCTCCCGCAAATGACGAGAATTTGGCTCGTAAACTGACATTTTCAATCGAGAATAACTTTATGATGCAGACACAAATCGACTAATGTTTCTATGGGGTTATGTTGACAGATGCCCAAGTTTATTGTATGATGTCTATGATCTATTTATTTCGACCACCACTTACCGCTAAAGCCATCTATCTAGGAAAACGGCGAAAGCAAAGTTGTATAACTAATATATATTATGTAATTATGGTTGCTCCTTAAGAAACAACCTTTAAATATTCAATGTACTGTTCAGAAACATAAACATTATCACAAGAAAAAGCCTCGCTCTATCATATAGAATAGTACAAAATTATAACGATGTCTTTACAGCTCGAAATCTCGAGTTATATATAATTATGCTTAATTTATATTGGGCATTTTTAACGAAATAAACAATTGAACGAAATAAAAGTTGTAAGACGCGTAAATTACTGATGTTAGATAAATATTTGTTAGATAAATATTGTTAGATAAATATTTGTAAGTTTCACGTAAGTTTTACGTGTGCTGATATGATAATTATTGCGAAATATCTAAATCAAGATTTTTATTATAAATTTAAAAATAAAATATTTTTTAATAAAAAAGAGACAAAGAAAATAAACCTAATTTTTTCTATCTTTTTTTCTTTGTATTGAAAAGGGACTGAAGAGAGATAAGCGATTTTGTCTCGCTAAATAAAATTTAATTCTACAAAACATTCAAACATTTCAATAATATCCGTAACTTTATGAAACTTTGATAAAATATACAGTTTCGTTTAGTTTTTAATCGTTTTAAAAAATATGATAAAATTATTATCTCATCGTGTGTCCCTGAGTCAAGTAAAAAATGACATTTTTTATATGTCTTATGTTAAAAATGCCCAATATAAATTAAACATAATTATATATAAATCGAGATTTCGAGCCGTAAAGATATCGTTATAATTTTTGCAATAATGAAGCGGATTTTTTAAACTATAAATATCGAAGCCGAAATCGTTGCCGTTTGGATTTTCGGCGAGAGTGTACAGGCAATAGTAAAAATAGTGTTAAATAATAAAATATTGCGCGATCTGGGAAACAGTCACATTATGTATCGAGTGTTCGATTTTTATTTTTCCACACATACGCACACAAACACACAGACACATACACATGACGATATTCCTTATTAAAAATTAATAGGAACATACAATTATTTTTTCCCCGTTAAAAACACATGAATAGTTCAGGATTTTATAGTAGAAAAGATAGAAATCTTGTAAAATATTCTTTGACTAATTTTGGAAGGATTTCATCTCGATAGAAACTTGATTTGAGATATACGTATATATCAAGATATTCAAGAGATATACTCTGAGATTCTACCTATAAAAAAATATGTTGCGTTTGAATAGAGAGTTTGAATAAAGAAAATGTTAGTTTTTTTCTAGCTTTAATATAGTCTTGATATTCAACGAGGAATATTGCTGAACCGCGCGTACCGAACACTCCATACAATCGTGTATAACTGTGTACAACAGGTTTTCGGTATTAGCTGCAATAAGAATAATCATAATTCGTAACCACGCAAGTCACATGCGTCTTATATATATATAATTATATATATAATTCATACAATTTAACGAGAGAAAATATAATACAAAAAGGCACCTGGAAAAGCAGGCTAATTCGCGTAAATATACATTGTCAAGTCAAAATCTTGAGGCTTCTATGAAGACACTTGTGTTACATCTTTAGGCACATTTCGATATATACTTTCATGCTGCCTGTCATTGTACACAAAACGGATCACAAAGTTCGAATTATGTTTTCGTATCGTAAAATTAAATACACGAAATTCAAGAATCACCGACTGCTGAATATTTTCATAAGTAATAGTTTCAAAGACTCTTTCAAATAATGTATAAAAGACATTTAAATAGTTTGCTCAGCCAAATTTTTTCTAAATATTTTTTAAATGCATCCTTTTGGTCTTTAAGATTATGATTATTCGATACTCATAAAAAAAATTAATATATTTTGATCACTGAAACTTTTTATAAATGTTTTCTAATCTCACTATCGAGACGTTTACAATTTTTTTCCTGATTCTTTTGAAAACTTTCAAATATTTTTAAGATATAAA